AAAGTAAATACAATTATAGACCTGTGTCGGTTCAACCTTAAGCAAATAGTTTGCAAAAGTCCCCAAAATTCCCATCTACTTCTCCCCAAAGTGCATCCTCTTTTACTCTGTTAACGTTCTATCCATTAGCATTAATGACCACGTTCAAATTTCTTAAGTTCCACTGCCATAGGCTAGAGAACAGAGCAGCTATCTAAACAAAAATACAGTCAACATTTTTTCTACAGCCCATAAGGAAAAAAATTAAAATATCCAAAAATAGTTTTCCACATCGTCTGGTTTCTGGTGGCTTCTAGAAGCAGGTGTGAGCAAATTACAAATCCAAGCTGAGAACCAGGTAAAAGCAATCAGTCAAGTTTTAAATAATATCTAGCTCAAGCAATGAACCATAGAATTATGAAGGATGCTGTTACCTCTCACTTAAATTCCCTTAGATTTCGAAAGAAAAAAAATGTAAAGGTCCCATGTGACCTTCTTACACTCAACATCTTTGTCGGCTTTGTCACTTCTGAGTCCCTTCTCTGGTTTATTCAGGAGTGGTAGATATCTCTCAACTAATCACATTGTATTATACATTTCAGAACTTAAAAATTTTTGGAAGACCAATGGGTTTTTCACAACACAAGGAAACATTTACGAAGTTACTTTAATGTCTATGAATTTTTCTTGGAAAAGATGCCAATATCACCAGCAATCATAATCACAGAGGCACATTTAAGACCTCAAGGTGAATCTTTAAGATGTGAAATGCGACCACATGCCAACAAAATACAGTTTTATCCATCCGTTTGCCTAGTATGTAATTATGGAATAGTCATAGGAGTTGAGCAAGTAGAATCAAGTGAGATACTCAGCAGACTCATAGAATGGCAGATGTCCTAAATAGCGCTCTGGCCTCAGAATCAGCCCTAAAGGCATTCGGATCTGGCTGAAAAGCCCATGGGAGTATTTCAGGCATGGAAAGCCAAGACACTCTGGCAAAAGATCTCTGTGAGTGAGATCCCAGTGGAAAGAACAGGTCTTCAAAAAAGGAGGTACCTTTCTCTGAAGGGAGGAGAGAACCTCCACTTTGACTATGACCTTGTCTAAACAAGATAAGAGTCGGAGAACTCAGAGGGCTTCCATAGCCTTGGAAACTCATGACTGGAGCATAGGGAGACTACTGATGCCATAGACAGGAGTGTCAATTGGTAAAGTCAACAACAGGAGTCACTTACTCCTCATGTAGGATCTCTGTCCTTAATGTGCTGTGCATTGAGATTTAATGCTATAACGAGTACTCAAACAATATATTTCACTTTGTGTTTCTATGGGGGTGCAAACTGTTGAAATCTTTACCTAATGCATACTAAACTGATCTTCTGTCAAATAAATTATAAACAAAAAATAGAATAGAAAGAACTTATCAATTCCATCTTGACTCTCACTGGGATTAAACATGACAATAGGTCTGATCTGATTTCATCATCATTTAAAAAAAATCATCTATTATTTTTCACTTTATGTTTCTGTGTGGGAGCAAACTGTTGAAATCCTTAATTAATGTATACTAAGCTGATCTTCTGTATGTTAAGATAATCGAAGGTGAATCTTGATGTGAATGGAAGGGGAGAGGGAGTGGGAAAGGGGAGGGTTGTGGGTGGGAGGGAAGTCATGGGGGGGAAGCCATTGTAATCCATAAGTCGTACTTTGGAAATTTATATTCATTAAATAAAAGTTAAAAAAAAAAGATGTGAAATGCGACCACATGCCAACAAAATACAGTTTTATCCATCCGTTTGCCTAGTATGTAATTATGGAATAGTCATAGGAGTTGAGCAAGTAGAATCATAGCTGTATTTCACAATTTACATAGCTAATTTTGTATCATAGAAGAGTGTAGTTCAAAAAGTTTGTGGAAAATGGAATTAAAAGGTCAATTTGTTGTGGTGCAAAAAAGCCTAAATTCATGGAGTTTTTTTCATAATATGCATTTCCCCTAACTTTTCAAAGATCCCTCATAAATCTTTACATTCTAAATAATGTTTGACAGTTACGGAACTAGTTTTCTTCTGAGAAGTTGGATAGGCTAGGGGTATATTTGTCTCACGTCTCCACTACAATAGTTATACCTATGAGATTCTCCGATGGAAGATGGAAGGTGTGGGCGGGTGAATGAAGGATCCTCCCCAGGTTCTGGGCTCCAGTGTCCAGAAGATACTAAATTAAGCTTGCATCATTAACTTAATACAGATTAAAGATCAGACCGTTCACTTAATCTCAGAGAACCAAGTGAGGGAAAGACAAGGCTTGGAGCTTGGACACGTTGACTCCGGGGAACAAGTTGACCTTGACTCTGGTCTGAAGCTCAGATGACATCACTGCAGTGGAAAGGGGGTGTGAGGGCCCTCAGTGCACAGGTGCTAACTGCAATCACGGGCACGGATGTGACCACCCAGGAGATTGCGTGGGTTGAGAGAAGAATGTCAGGGATGGGGCCCTGGGACAAGAGGAGCGCTAGGCACTCAAGACGATGAGGTGGGGGACAGGGCACAGGGAAACAGGAAGGTGGAGAGAGCTTTGCTACTGAAATCGAGCAAAAGAGACATCAACAAGTGTCAAACAGAGCAGAATAAATATGTGCTTTTGCAATACCATCTCATCAGTGCTAAGCAAGGATGAGTGTTTGAGCTAACAGCTGATTAAGCCTGTGGTATTCTTCATCTTTTTCTGCGATTTTCAGGCTCATTGTAAAAAACTAACCTTTGGAACATAACTGATGCATCCATTTCCTCTGCCGCCGTAACAAACTGCCGTGAACTCGGTGGCTTAAAACGGCAGGCATCAGTTCTCTCACATTTCTAGCGACCCCAGGTCTGAAACCAAGGTGTGCTTGGCAGGGTAGATTCCCTCTCTGGGACTTGCAGGGAGACTCGGTTCTGTGCCAGTCTCTTAGCTCCTGGTGGTTGTCAGCGATCCTTCCGTATCTCCCTTCTCTGCCTCAGTAGGCACACAGGGCTCCCCCTGGGGGTCTGGGTCCACCTGTCCCTGTTGCCTAAGCCCACATGACCATCCGCCCTTATCTTAGCTTGATGAGAGCTGTAAAAACCTCTCAAGGTGACAGTCTGAGGTTTGGGGTTGGCGGGAGTTTTCGGAGGACACCCTGCTGGTCAGCACACCCACAAACTTGCAGGAACCACAGCAACATGACCCAGGAATAAAGGTGCATGTTGGACACATCAGAGGAATTTTAGGTTGGCAGGACACTTTTCCACTGGTCTCCTTCAGCTGTAGTCGGAGCCCCAGGTAGGTTAAGATCCCTTTACGGAAATTCTGCACACTAACTGTGTTTTATTTAACACAGCATTTGCTCTCAGGTTGGCCCCTCTCAACTGCTTGTAGGAAGCATTAACGTGGGGAGGGAACTTCAGCGAAACATGAAATCACAAAGCCCTTCCGAGCTTGGGGAGCTGACCTGACATTTGCAGCAGGGCAGATGGCTGTGCTAATGGACTGGTGAAAACTTTTTAAGTGATGAAAGGTGTGGCGAAGAACTGACCGGCCATACACTTAGTCACGAGACAAAAAGCACCTTTTCTCCACTAGCATCAAATATTTACTATGCGCTGGGCTCTTCCTGGCACAGTTAGGTATTGAGTGTCGGACGCCCCTAGAAAGTTTTCCTTGGGAAGGCAATTTTTTAAAAATGTGCACACACATAATGGTTACATTTTGCAATAACTGATAATTCTGGCATTATTCGGAGTCACTCAGTCAACTGAAGAAGAGATTCTAAGATATGATTTGTGGTCACTTTTTGGAATTACTCTTAGTTTCTCCTACTGCCTTCCACTTGTGACACTTCCCAAGGTCTCCAGCCTGGATCCCAAACCAGGCTTCGCTCACCAGGAGCGGGGCCCAATGAACAAGCCTGCGGGGCTGTCCGGCACCCAGACCCGCGAGCTTCCTCCCCGCATCCAGATGCTCGGGAAACAGCTGGATTAGTTAGGGTGGCGCCCACATCGGAAATTCTAGCCCACGGCTGTAGCAGGGATCCAATGTGTCTTCCAAGGGCCTCCACTGCGAACACTGGATGGAAGGTAACCCAGGCCGTGACATTCGGGGCTCTCTGGAGAATAAGGCTTGGGGACGGTCGCGGATAGGGCGCGCGAGGGCAGGGACGGGATCCAGCTGGTGTGGCTCTGGGCTCTTGGCTGAAGAGGTAGGCTCTTGGGCTGGGGTGGCCGGCGGCCCGGAGAGACAGTGCCAGGCCCCGCTTCCTGGGTCTCCTCCGCTCGCTCCGGGACGAGGCTGGCCAGGGGCGCCGGGCCCCGAGTCCTCGTCTGCACTTTTCCTTCCCAGGCCTCTCCCACTTCCTCTCCCCACCGGCCCCCGCCCCTCCGCCCTGGCCGGGTCCCGGGAGCCGCGCCTCCCGCAGGGTCCCATCCTCCTCCCCGCGGGACCCAAAGGAGGAGAATTCCTGTGGGTCCCAGGAGTGCCAAAAGTGCGGAGCAAGACGGGAAATTGCAACAACCCTCCCCCGCCCGCAGCCCTCCCCCGTGGCTTTCCCGAAACGCCCGCCCTCGGCGCTCGTCCCGCGGCTGATTCATAGTCCGGGCGCGGGGCCCCTCGGCACGTCCGGCCCGGCGTCCACTCCCGCGTCCGCACCGGCGCCCCACGCGCCGCCGAGGACCCAATCCGGCCTGCAGAGCCCGTCCCTCGGCGGCCCGCGGCGTGAGTACCCTCGAACCGTCGGGTCCTGTCCCGCACTGCCCCAGTGCCTGCGTAGGCGACTTCCGACGGGACAGCCCTGGCGCGGCGCGGGAACCAACGTGCCCTCCCCGCCGCGGGCCTGCACTTTCCGCGCGGGTTGGCTCGGGCTCGGGTCTGCGCAGAGACCGCGCTCGGAGGGGTCCCCGCCTCCCGGCCGCCCGCCCGCCCGCCAGCCCGGGCCGGGGCGCTGCCGCCCCGCTTCTCGGCGGAGCGCGGCCCGCCGCTCCGGGCCTGCTCTGGAGCGCACCGTCCCTAGGCCTGCGCCCTCGGGGTCCGGGGGTGTGTGTTCAGTTCGAATTCCCGGTGGACCCGCTGCGGCCTCTCCGGCCCGCGGTGTCCCCGAGCGCTCCCCTCCGGAGCCCTAGCTCGCGCGCCGACTGCAGTTTCTCCAGGACTCCGTGGATCTTTCTCCACCCAGGCCCTGTTCAGACGCACAAGTGGGAGGCGCTGGGCTCAGGTGAGCAGGGAATCCCGAGGTGTCCCTGGTTGTGCCTGGGACAGACGCGTCCTCCGCAGCCGCGTCCCTTTTACAGCCACGAAACCCAGGCGGAGAGGGCTTCCGAAACTCGTCCGAGACCACCGAGTAGGCGGTAGGGACCCCGAAATGGGAGCCCAGGACTCCCGGGCCAGGTCTTTCTCCCCGACACCGCGACTCCTTCCTTGCTAATGGTGGATCCCGGCTAGCACCGGTGCTTCCCTCCTGGAGCGCTAGACGCTGTGGAGAGACGCTGTTCTGCGGCTCACATCCTGGGCGTCGGGGTAGGCACGGGAGGAGGCCGAATTCAAGAGGGTGTCCGATTTGAGCTAGAAGAACCCTTCGTGGAGGAGAAAGCAGCTGTGGTCTTCATCTCCCATCCAGCCGGCTCTGGGAGTTGGGCCAGGGTACTTTGTGTCTCTTAGCCCAGGTTGCCTTGTTTTTGGACTGGCTGTGGAGCAGGCGCTGTTCCAAGCACACTCTTTGCTTACCTGTGTAAGCCCAGGGCAAGGAGCTAGGATGGCTGTCCTTGTTCTGGCACTGTGGAAGTTGAGGTCCAGTAGCTTGTCTGTGGTCACACCACTAGCAGGTGGCAGAGCCGGGGTTTGGCTTTTCACTCTGCTGACAGCCGCCCTGGTGTACCTAGCACTCTTACTGCCGTGAGCTGGTAAGTGGTGTTTCATTACCGACTGGCTTTTTCTGCTTTAAAATGCACTCCGTGCGGGGTGTTTGGCCCAGCGGTTAATACACCTGCTAAGATGTGGGTCCCCTATCGGAGTGCCTGGTCTCCTACCTGCCTGCAGCTCCTGACTCCAACTTGTTGCTAATGCAGACCCTGGGAGGGAGCAGGAGGGCTCCAGGGACTGGGTTCCTGTCCTCCCACATAGGATGGGTTCCTGGTTCTGCCTGTGACTCCCTTCCAGGCCCTGCTGTGGCAGGCATTTGAGGAGTGAACCAGCCGGTGGGAGTACGCTCTCTCTCTGTCTCCGTCTCTCAAAGAAAATTTAAAACACATTCAGAGACTGAGATGGAAGGGCCCCAAGTGGTGGTCGTGGCCAGGGGTTCCCAAACTTAGCTATTCCTGAGACAGCCCTGGAGTTGTTTCAACCCCAGCTAGCCATTTAGAATCTTCAGGGCGTGCTCATGGTGATGTCTCCCCTGCGCACCTCCCTCACCCCCTGGTTTAGTTCAGTGGTACTTGGAAAAGCTGATGCAAATCATGGAATTTAAAAGAGGGGCTTATGTTGGTGCAGTGCAGTTTGGAAATGCACGCACAGCCTTTTGCAATCTGCATTTTCCATGGACAACGTGAAGCCCCCTAGTGCCGTGAGGATGCCTCTGCTGGCAGGAAGCTCACTACCTGACGTGCCGTTGCTGGACAGAGCTAATTCCCTGCTGTAACCTGCCTGCTTGTGACTGATGCCCTGGCCCCGGGCCCGGCTCCTGTTGCCTCTGCAGATGTCCATGCATGGTGCGTCAGAGGCAGCTATGTAAGAACAGGGCATGTGTGGTGCCCAGCAGGCACTGGAACAGCAGAGGGAAGACCCTTAACACCAGGTCTCTTCCCCCCACCCCCTTCTTCAACCCAGACAGAGCAGGGACAGCTATGGGATGCCCAGAGGTATTGCCAGGTCTCCGATGTTTTCGGAACCCTTTGTCCCCCAAGAGAGGCACCACGCCAGGAAAACACCTACGGTTTAGAGAGAGTCACCGTGATCCTGTGCTTGACAGGAGGAAGGAGTGTGTTTTCCTTGTGGGAACCCAACTGGATTGTCCGCTGGTTCCAGTAGAAGGAAATCTCGGTGGATGGGCGCCTCACTTACAGGAACAGGGAGCCCCAACCCGCCTCTCCCTGGAGGAGGAAGTCTTTCTGCATTAAAACAAAAATTCTGTGGAATGGAAAAACAAAACAAATAGAAGGCCATGGCCTTGGGGGACAGAGCCCCTCCCTCCCTCCGAGCCAGTTTCCGCGTTGCTGGAAAGAAGTGTTTCTTGGCCAACAGCAGCTGGGTCCTTGGCATCACAGCCATCCTTCTCGCCTCGGTTTGCTCCCACTAGCTCCTTAGCATTTCTTTACTCTAGGTTCTATTTTATGTTCATGTTTTATAAATTGTACAGCACGGGGTGGGTGTTTGGCCTGGTGGGTAAGGGGCCAGTTGGGACACTGGTGTCTCATGTCAGAATGCTTGGGTCTGACTGTGGCTCCTGATTCTAGCTTTCAGCTGATTTGTAGGCCCTGAGAGGTGCGGGCTCATCCCACAAGGCCCGTGCTCTGTCGGCATGGGTGGGGTGAGGCGAGGTGAGGCGGGGCGAGGCGCGGCGCTCTTCGGCAACAGGCACCTGAGACAAGTTTCGGTGAACATGTCCACATTGTTAAAGATCAAGCGTAAGCTTTTAAAGGGCAGGCAGACGTAGCTAATTCAGGGCAACACTAATTCTATAGGATAGAACCGATATTGGCACCACTATTCTCTAATCAGCTTGAGGGTCACGTAGCCAGAGTAGCTTTCCAGGTGGTCCTAATGGGCCTGGGCCACCCCTGGGAGCTGTTTACCAGATTGGCAATTACAGGGCCCTTTAACAGGGAGCAGAGGTGGGGAGAAGTGCCTGGGGCTCCCGCCGCCTGCCAGCAGTCAGGTTGTAGGGTCCCTCCCGGGAGGCATGGCCCGCCATACCCTCTCAGCCTCCTGCCTGGGCAAGGCAGGCAGTCTCACGGGATCACCCACGGAGAGGCAGCAAATGATGGCTCCAGTAATGGGGTTCTGCCACCCACATGGGGACTTGAATTGAGTTCCCAGCTCCTGGAAGCCTGGTTGGAGCTGTAGCAGTCACTGGGGAGTGAATCAGTGGATGTAAACTCTGACTCTCAAATAAATAAGTTAAAAAATTTAAAAAGTGTGATTTATTGGGACTGGCATTGTGCTGCAGTGAGTTAAGCTGCTGCCTGCAACACCAGCATCCCCATATGAGCACCTTTTTCAACTATTGGCGCTCCACTTCCCATCCAGCTCCCTGCTACTTGGCCTGGGACAACAGCAGAAGATGCCCCAGATACTTGGGTTCCTGCCACTCACAGGAGAAACTCAACTGGATTTCCTGGCTCCTGACTTCTTCCCAGCCCAGCCCCAACCAATATGGCCATTTGAAGAGTGGACCAGTGGATGGAGGATCTCTCTCCTCTCTCTCTCACTCTGTCTCTCTCTCTCTAACTCTCCCTCTTGCTCTGTCATTCTGCATTCCAAATAAATAAATTTTTTTTAAAAATTGTCAAGTTTAATAAACAATAGTATAATAATAACTGAACACATGCTCACTCAATATAGAAATGTGTACACTGAAATATAGCAATGCAGCATCACCTCACTCCCATTCAGAAAACCAAAGTTTAAGCTTGGTACTGCTCATTCCAAGACTTTCTCTTTTCCAATAGATTTGCATAGTATGTATATATTTCATTTATCCATGTTTTAAAATATTTTTAAAAGATACTTAAAAATTTATTTATCTGAAAGGGAGAGCTACAAAGAGGAAGAGACACAGAGTGAGATCTTCTGTCTGCTGGTTCACTCCCCAATGGTTGGGGCTGGGCAAGGCTAAAGCCGGGAGCCTGGAATTCCATTCTGGTCTGCCATGAGGGTAGCGGGGACTCAAGCACTTAGGCCATCTTCCACTGCCTTGCCAGGCACATTAGCAGGGAGCTGGATGGTAAGTGGTGCAGCTGGGACTCGGATTGGCACTCTAATATGGGATGCCAGCTTTGTAAGCACTTAACTCACTGCACCACGATGCCGGCCCCCACATCTGTATGTTTGCTGTGCTTACTGTTCTGCACCTTAGTTTTACCTTCTCAGTCATAGAGATCTTTCCACATTCATACTTCTTTTGTTGAGGACTACACCATATTTTAAGGTAGAAACAGCATGTAATTTATCCATCCTTCCCCTTATTGATGGACACTTGGGTTGCTTAAAATTATTCAACAATAGCGATGGTGATTCAGGGAGGATCATGCATTCTGTGTCCTTGAGTGTATTTCATTGGAATAGACTTGTAGGAGAGGTGTTTGTAGATCAAAGAGTTGTGCCTACTTTTTTTTTTTTTACAGACTTGTTTATTCAGTTGGAGGAGAGGAGCCATCCTATACCGCTTTCCCAGGTGCATTAGCAGGGAGCTGGATTGGAAGCAGAGCAGCTGGGACTGATATGGGACTGAGCCACTGCTCCAGGCTCCCCAAGTTTGCCCATTTTTCAACTTAATAGCTAGAACCCGTCAAATCGCACTGCCCCACAGCCCCCTGGTACTGGTGCATTTAGACTCAGTGCAGGAGATTCGGCCCCCCCCTTAGCCCTCCTAACGCCAGGCGTTTTCCTTTCTGTTCTTTTTAAATTTGCAGATCTGGTGAAAGAATGTAACCCTGTGTAGCATTTTAATTACATTTTGCTAATTACTACTCCAATTTATTATCAGTGTATATGAGTCATTTGGGTTCTTCTGGAATTTCCTGTTTATGTCTTTGTTCATTGTTCTAAGGAGCTGGTATTTCTTACTCCTGTTTATTGCAGAAGTAACGCATGCATTCTGCATCTTATCCTTTGTCACAGATGATGGAAATGTTTCTCTTGGCATAGGGCTCTTTCTCCAGTTGTTGTTTGTGGTGCTAAAATGTACACAACATGACATTTACCATCTCTATTAGTCAACTTTCCCTTACCTTAACTAAAACACCTGGAGGAATGTCTCGGGAAGAGAGGTGTTTATTTCAGCTTGCAGGTTCACAGTTCGAGACTTGGTGTCCCCATTAGTCGAATGTCTGGCAGAGACTGGCCGTGGCAGGGCATGTGTGGAGGAGCAAACCCGTGGCCAGCGTGGAAGCATAGAGAGCCACAGGAAACATGCCCAGCATAGGAAATGAACTCCCTTCCTTAGGAAGCTCCCTGGGAGTTCGCAGCGGGCCCCCCTGCCAGAGGTTGTAATCAGATGAA